TCCCCGGGTATTGCAAGCGTTTTAAGGAAACGAATGTACCTCAATTCTTTGGTAGTGGATGTAAAATATGTATGTATACCTAATCGGGATCAAACTCTGAATCGAATTGAAAGTGTCCATCTATCTGTCTGTGCAATGTCTGTGGCAAAGTTGCTCCTAGTCGCAAATGTATTGCTATCGACTTCTTGCAAGCAAATTGAAATTGAAAATGGGCTAAATCGGTCAAAGCATACGCCCATTCTACCACGTTAATTGAGAATACTTCTGTACTGAAAATTAAAAAATAAAATGGGTTTTGTACGCTTATTCTGTTGACGAAGGGGACCAACGCCTTCGAATATTATAGTGCAGCACAATTTTATTTCCTTTGTCGTCAAAATCTTAATAACGTCCCGAAACAAGTTTCAAAAACCCCACAAGGTATATATATTCTTGAACGCTATCAAACTCGAAATGCACTTAGGCAGGTCCTTCCGTTCGTCTTTCCATCTATCGCTCTGCCTGTCTGTATCTGTATAATATCTGTATCACAACTTCTCCTTTTCGCACAAATAGATAGACCGCCTTCAAATATTGGAAAAAAAAATTGAAAATGGCGCAGTCCGATCAAAAGGCTCGCGTACAGTGCAACATTTGCTCATTGATCATAAACTCCAGTATACATATAATAAAAATTTTCTCCTATATTCGGCGGTAACGGTAAAAATTGAAAAAATCAGCCATGCTCTTCGAATATTATGGAGCATGAAAATGTAATATATGCGTCTTTTCAGGCTTTTCTAAAATAACAGTGGCTATGTCACAGCCTAATATAATTTTCTGACCGGTTTTTACACAAAACTGAGATAAATTTGCACAGGCTTCATGGCGTGTACGTAATGTACATTGTTTTGTGAATGACGAACTGAGGTATTTGAGCACATGGAATAATTGTCTTTGGCCGGTGTTTTAACTTATCTTTCGGAGATGAACTATGCTTTGATGGGAAGCATAGATGTGCCGAAACTCTCACCTCCCAGCGGTGATCCCCGGGCAACGGCTTCGGCCGGCTAAGAAGAGTTTAAGGTTTTGGGCTGCTAACTCGGCGACGAGTTTCTGAGAGATGGTGGAGGGGTTGGCTGGAAGAAGAGCTCTTACTCAATAGCTAGTTACTACCGAGGAAATATATTGAATGGTATTTAAGTACGATGAAGGTAGTAATCTAGCGAGTGCATGGTAGAGTGCATTAGATTAGTCTACCATGTTCAGTGCAATACCCGAGACCTATATATCTTGAAGAAAAGTAGTTCACTGGTGCTGGCAACCAGGAAAGTATGGAGAATCCGAAGAAAGTACGGTTGTTTTAGCAACCGCCCAAAGTATGCCAAAGGCTTTGCAAAACAAACTGGGAGCCACGGGGGTCAGGAAGCTCGCCTCACAAAGCCACGTATGCCTGCGGGTATATGATGGACTTTGTCCTTAAATCGTAATAAATAAATTAATTATACTATTAATGCAAAAAGGAATTGACGGACGGCCTTCCCTTTGGCCGATTGATAGAAGATGTCTGGTAAATTAATTAATACATGCAAAAATGGAAAAGGGATATGACGAATAAGTTTTCCCCTTTTACCTATTTTTACTTTTGAACACATGTCACGGATGCCTGCGGGTAATGGTGGTAATTGATCAACAGCACAGTGGAAGCCTTATGGCGGAAGCAGTCAGTTGATCAATTTGTGAGTCCTGACTGCTTGGGTGTGGCCCTTCGGGGAGTACTCGTGGTGGTTGTGGTTGGCGAGTTCCTAGCTAAAATGGAACAATTGAGTGCAGCTAGGCCTCGCCATTGACCAGAGTGGGGTTTATTGTTCCATACACAATAAACTGTTCTGGACGCTGGTGCTGTTTAGGCCCCTACTCTGTGGGGATTGTCTAACTCGCCAGGGGGCGTAGTACGCTTAAAAGTGGCTTGAGCCACCGTGGGGTTAAGCCTTTCAGGCAGGAACCCACGTTAAACCCTTGCCACAAATTTTATCTTTCGGAGTTTTGCCATATTTTTATTGACAATGCTTTGTGATTAAGAACAAAACAGATATAAGAACAATGCCTAATAATATGCTACGCAGAAAGAATAAACATTGACAATGAGATATATATAATAATAAATGCAATCAACAAAGGCAAGTTAATACCATATATACAATCCCGGCTGCAAGAAACAAAAAAATCAACTTCAAATAAAATTATTTGTCTTTGTCATCCACAATGCTAACCTCACTAAGTTAATTACACATAAGCGTGTGCATTATCGAAAGTTTTTATTATCATAATTTTCCATTTGATTTTGTATCGTCCGCATGTATTGGGTATAGGAAGTCCGTTTATTTGGTTGTGCCATTATGTGAGTATGATGCGCAACGATCGCCCCAAGAACGATAGTCGAATGCCGCTAATGTAATTCTCTTTGCACTTCTTTCTATTATTATCATTGAATAACAGTTAAAATGTACGACAGATTTATAAATAGTCGAACTTATGGCGTGCACCACTGTAAATACTTGCGAAAATTGTGACGTCTTTATGAAAACAAAGCCATATCGCATGGTTAATATATCAAGCATCATATAATTTTAATATGCAAGTCATTTGCAATTCTACTAAACAATTAGATTGAATTAAATTTTTGCGAGGACTAAACTCCAATATATACATGAATAACTCTTAATCAAGGAAGACTAATATCATCGGACCATCAATAACCAAACCTTATCATCTTTACTGCTGCTATCATTATAAGCCCAAACGAATAATTACCATTAAAAACTCATCACGTTACTGGATATATTGATCGCATTTTTAACAGGTCTAATCCATTCACTTTAACATACCACATTTAAATAAAAAAACGTTACAAGAAGAGTTAATCGATGCGGTACACAAAAAGTAAGAAGAGTATAACACTTTTCAAGCACCTTTCAAGCTATCGGTATAAACTGATAATAGCAATAAGTATGCTGGTCCGTCGCATGGAGGGAAGTGAGTATGTCTAGTAATTGTAATCTTATATAAAGCAAACAAGAAAATTATATTCGGTTGTGTGTTATCCTGTTTTTGTAGAATAGTTTTATGGAAACTTACATCATGTGTCTGTTGTAGATTATGGGAAACGAGTGGGAGAGGGTGAAAGAGTGTTCAGTTGTTTTTATATAGGCGTGTGAACATTGTATGCGTGTTGTTTGAAAAGTTTGGGTCATTTTTACATTCTATTGCAAGTTTTTAGGCGATATCTTCATTTTTGTCAACGGGAGAATGTTTACGACAAATAGTACGCAACTGCGTAGGCACGGACAGGACAGATGAAGAGTTGAACAGACGGACACGTTTAAGTGCATTCCAAATTTAAAATTGGCTAAGAACTTACATACTTTTTGGCGTCTTTGAAGCTTACCTCTGTACGTTCTAAAGGTGTTGGCGAGAAAGTGGAATTATGAACCACTGTAAAATTGGGTAGGAGTGGTTGATTTTCTCCATCTTTGTACAATCATGACAGCATCGCCCATAGTCAAGTTTTTGTAACAGATAACTCTTCTAATTTATGAGTACGAGTAATACACCGAACCTCAATTTTTTATTCGTTTTGAGAAACAGAGGTATTTACGGAGTCTCTGGAACTTACTTGTGGGTACTGCAAACATTTTGACAAAATGAATGTATCCCTCACCCTTCGATGATGGGTATAAAAAGCTGCAAATAAACGATCGATTTCTAGGAAAATTTAATCAAAAGATATTTTCAAGCAGTGCTTCTTTTTTGAAAGCGTTTCACGATGCTATCCAGTTTTTGGAAGATTTCATTCAACCGAAACAGTGAGTATAGGATATAGGACTGAAACAAATTGAGATATTCAAACTTTAGCCAAATTGGTTGAAAGAGTTCATCATTTTCTATCTACGGGTTTTCAAAACATAACGAATCTACTTCTAAAAGGAAGACAAATTGAAACAAAAGTGAAAGAGGAAGACGATGAAAATGATGATCAATACGAAAAGTTTCGATGGATCACTGGTAGACTCCCAACCGCGGGAACGTTTGAAAATGGAGATTTTAAATTATAGAAACCATCACCATTGCTCGTGATATAATATATCCGCAAACGCATTCACCGTTCGCATGCTATCAAAACTTTCGTCCGCAACAAACGTATCACAAAGTGCAAAAGTTTTCGATTCTTTTTATCATTGGTGTTGTGAGAACCTAACTATTTCAGAAATTTGTTTGCCAGTCGTTCTATTCTAATTAATTCAGAACTCAAGCTCTTAATTAGTGATGGTGTAATTTGAATAAAGATTCGGCGAATTCATGAAATAACATGACTGTATACTTAGTTTATATAATTTATTTTATTATAAATCTTTTTGTTATTAACAAACAGTTTTCATTCAAAAATCATAAAAATAAAAGGAAAAGTATTTATTTTAAAACTAATGATAATTAATTCATTTATCCACCTTTTCATCATTTAAAATTTTTCGATTTTTATTGTTCTTTTTCGCATTTTCACATCGTTTTAGTATTAAATTAGAACTAGAACTAGAAATTAAAAGAAAATAATAAAATTATGACAATGATAATAAGAAAGAAAGAAGAAAGAGATTAGAAGTCACACAAGAAATTCATATATATACCGTTTCTTTCCCTATTTTCTTCCTCCTTCTCTCTCTTTCTCTCTCTCTCTCTCTCTCTCTCTCTCTCTCTCTTTTCTCTATCCTTCTTAACAATAAAATTAAAATACAATAGTTATCGTTATACAAAGCAATTGAATATTGTTCCATACAGATGAGAATGATTGTATTGAAAAACTAGCATTACAAAGAATTAGTTCATAATTACTGTTACGTTGGAATAGCTTAATTTACTTTCATTAAAATGCCACATATATACATACATAATAAGTATACAAATACATATATACGTATATTAGGAATAAGAATAAGAATGAGAATAAGAATAAGAATAAGAATAAGATAAGAAAATTAAGGTTAAACAATATAAGAATAAAAGCGGTAGCGGTAGATTTGGAAAGCGGGCGCATTTTAAGTGCACAGTTAAATAGTTTAAGTTAGTACGAGAGCTCTTTGGGAAGAAAGATTCGCAATCTGTAGCAGGAGCAGAAACGGGAACACGAGAAAATCACTTTTTGTGGGTGGGACGAGGAGTGCGGATGGAGTTATCAAAATTTTTGAACGAATATCTTGAACGATGTTCAAATTTGCTTAATATCGTCAATCGAAACATAGGAGCTTTCGTTAGCTACGCTCTTCGAGTCCGGTTGGCTCGTTTGTTCAATTTCGTCATTATCAACTGCTCGATTTTTTCTCATGTTCTTAACTGTAGTGGCGAGGTTAGTTTCACGTTTCTTGGGTTGATGTTCCGGAATATTTTGCGTGCATGAACAAGGACACATGCACTGGCTTTTATTAGAACCATTTGAAAAAATAGAATTCAGACTGAAGTTAATGGGTATGGGAGCGGGTTGTACTCCCACCGTGTGAATATGTTCACTCGTTGACTTGTTCGCATTATCATTACATTTACCGTATGCTACCTCAGGCAATATGATAATTGGCAAAAAGGCAACTGTCGCTCCATTGGGGATTTTATCAGGTGGATAGAAAGCTGGGTGACCAGGTACTTGGGGCACAACCGGAATTTGTTGTGATAGTGCTGGGAAGTTAACATGGCCACTAAAGCCGCTGGATGTTATGAACTCTTGTTGGAAATGACTCACTAAATTAGGCAAACTTTGCGGTGATGTAGCAAAGCCTTTAGAAGAAGGGGCGGTATAGGTGGTTGAAGAACTTGAAGATTTAGTTGATTGAATAGTATCTGCGGGACACGAGCAGTAATTATTAGCTTTTTGTGCTTGGAAGGGAGAAGAAGTGGGACGTGGGCTCGCAGTTTGCTGCTGGTAACTGGTAGTTTTGCCTGTCGTCACTGTCGTTACTTTCTGTTCAGGTCTTTTATTTTGGTAGTCCGTACTAACTATTTTTACTTTTCCTCTCTCATTATTTACTGTGTTTTCGAAACCCTTAGGCGAAACGTAGCTACTAACGTTATTGGTTATTAATTTCTCAGCAGTTTGAGGCTTACTATAGGAAGTAGTGCTGATCTTTTCTTTAGTCTCTGGTTTTGTGTAGGTAGTTGTAGTAGAAATCTTACTGAGTTTTTGACCTTGTGATGGTGAAGAAATATTTGTAAACGTCACCTTTTCAATCGCTATTGGTCTAGAGTACGTCGTCGTCTTAGTGTTCGTAGTCACTACCTTGTCTATGGCCGTCCGTGGTTTTGAGTATTGAGTATTTGTGGTTGTTACGATTGTCTTTTCAATATTCAAGCCTTGTTTACTACCAAAATTTTGATTTGTTGTTGTTGTGTACGTCTTAGAGGGCTTGTCCTGCTTAATAACGATATCCTGGGCCTTTCGAGTGCCGGTGGTTGTAGCGGTGGTTTTGATTTGTTGGCGTTGTTGTTGTTGTTGTTGGATTTTAGGAGAAGGGGTAGAAGAAGGCGGAAGATAGGTTAGTATTGTATTAATTTTTTTATCTACAAATTGCTTATTGCTAACAGTGTTTGTAGTGGTAGTGCTTGGTTTGGTGGTGGTTGCCGTGACCTTCTTTTGTGCGTTTATGTTATCCTTGGGATAAGTGGACACAAAAGATGTCTGCGTATTGGTGATCGGCGGTGGAACTCTATCTACTTGATATGAATATGTAGTATTAGTTTGTGTTATTTTACCATTTTTGCTGATGAGAGGCGGCAGATATCCAGGCACTTGCAGTGCAGATTCCCTAGGATCTGAAGGATACTTCGGTACTTTAGGTTTTTTTCCGGGAACAATTGGGACGGAATCTATGGACTCTCCAAAGCCAGGTGTTTTCGGACCGGGTTGAGATGGACCAGGAGGACCAGGACGTTTAGGTCCTGGAGGTCCAGGGGGACCGGGACGTTGAGGCCCCGGTGGACCCGGTGGACCCGGAGGTCCAAATGGTCCAGGGCGATCCGGTCCAGGCGGACCTGGTGGTCCAGGTGGTCCAAATGGCCCTTTCGGTCCAGGTCCTGTTGGTCCAAACGGACCAGGTGGTCCAGGAGGTCCCGGGGGTCCAGGAGGTCCTAGTTTGTTAGAAATTAGATTACAATTAATTGGCTTAAACTACCATATAATGCGAATCAGTTAGAACACGAATAGCATGTACCAATATGCGCTTAGCAGAAAAACGTCTTTTTTGAGTATACAGCACAAAGCACTTAATTTACATATTGAAATGTTCTATCCGACATTACATCATCTTCAAATATTTTATATACATTTTTGTTTTATTATTAAGAATGCATACCTAAAGGACCTTTAGGTCCACCTGGACCTCCGGGGCCACCAGGTCCTCTAGGGCCACCGGGGCCGCCAGGTCCACCAGGTCCTGCTCCTCCGCCGCTTCCTTTTCCACCAAAGCCGCCCGCACCACCGAAGCCGCCTGCACCGCCGTAGCCGCCATTAGGTCCTACAATATGGACATACGGTGGAGCCGGTGGTCCTGTTGGTCCTTCAATGTGCACATATTTCCCAGAATTATCGTGATAATATTTACCTTGTTGAATACCTAAGATAGATCATATATCACTATCTGGTATTAATATTTTTCATACGTGAACCTACCTTTATATCTACCATCATCATGATTTTTTTTATATTTACCGCTTGCTGCATTAAAAAAGACCGCATAAATTTAATTGAGAAGGAAAAGAAATAAAAATACGTTAACAAATTGATTTCATTTAAGTTGGAAAGTCAACTTTACATTACATAACAATCTATCAATATAATACTATAAAACACAATACAGTAAAATACTTTTCAACTAAATTAATCTCTAGTCTACTATGTTATATATATATATTTCAAATTTGGGAACTACTCGAGAATACGTATTATTACGGAGAGCACATAAATAGTTAATTACAATGCATTTAGAAGTAACGACTAATAAAAGCTTTAAGCCAATACCTTCTACCTTAAGCATATCACAGTGTATTCATATGGGTAAAAGTTTTTAGAGCACATCTGTCGAAAGGAATACTAATACAAGAATGGATGCCACCACAATTAGAAACATCAGTAAAATCATTATAGAAATTTAAGGTATATAAGTACATGATATGAAAAAGTGCGTATGTGTTTATGTATAGTATTGTATGGTATAGTATCTATTAAGTAAATTTAGTAACAGAAATGATCGTAATTATTAATTTTTTAGTATGCATGTATGTGAGGTGAACTGTGCAAAATGTATACCTACAAGTGCAAACAGGTACATGCATGTATATGGGAGTTTATGTTTAGTTTGTATGCCTAAAAGATTCTTTTAAAAATGTAATAAAAGGAATAATAAATAGGAATTATTGTTCATTCACTTGAGCGCGAAAAAGACAGATAAGAAGAAGTGAAGATAGATTCGTGTATGTGCAGACGGGTGCTGAGCAAAATTTTGCAGTGCTTTAAAATAGATTCCTAAGCGGAGTTCAATAGATCTTTGGGCAAATCTTATTTGTTCTAATTGAGTGCTGTTACGATAACGGTCGTATTTTGAAAACTTATGTGAGCACTTTTCGCTTAAATCGCTGAAAATAGACAAATCTTATCAATACAAACAATAAAAATATAATTAGCAACGTAAATTAATATTGCGAACAAGTCTTAACAGCCTTAATATATTAAAATAGGAGAGCTTGCACAGATACACACACAAATATGCGTTATGTGCGTATAAATTGGTATTGTGTGCGCATGCATGTGTGTGCGTGTGTTTGTATTTATGTATTCTGGTCTTATATGTGAGACTTTTGTGTTTGCTAAAGTAAAACGAAATAAAAAAAATTTGCTTGCCTCCTGGTGACCCAAAGCGCACCCTCCCTCTATTTTTTGTCAAGAAAACTTGAGCGTACAGATCTTTAACCTATAAATGAAAGCACATATAATATGTACCGTTATTCTATTGCAAACACAAGCAAGTCATGGCGTCTGAAACTATCTGCGAATGTTTCCGGTTCATAACGATTTACAAGTACGACGTTGATTCGTTTGTAGAAATATTTGTGTGTGTATATTAAGCTCCGTTAAAATTTAAGTGTTTTCTAACCTTTATTGTATGCGATGGCCCCAGGAAAACC